GCCTCTGATGTCATAATTCAATATGACTGCAGAGAGACAATCGAGCTTTAAAAACTATTTCTAAGAGGTGCCGAGATAAAGTGTTACTGTCCGATTAATTATTAACTTTAATTATTTTTATTAAATACCTATTTTACTTAGCAGAATTTTTATAAAAATTTAAGTGTATTTTTTCATATTACGTGATACAAATTTACATTACTCTGGAATATATGTACATAAACATAAATCTATGGTAAAATATACACCAATGTGTGTGCGTGCATGCCGCATCGCTGATACGTTTTATCACAACTGTAAATTCTATAACATAAAAGTAAATGAAAAAAAATATCTGAAATTGTTTAAGCTGCACTAGTCCCAGAAACCTTGTCTTAAAAAAAATATCGATATAAACTCGAGAAGACACCGAGAAAAATTTGTTTATAACAATATTATTGATATATACTTTTCCTATCGATATAAGTTTCTGCTATAAATGTCTTCTTTTTATTCATGTGCTAGTAATAATTATGTACTTTAATAGAATTATGTAATTTGATAGATAAAATATACATTTCATGTATAAAATAAAGATTTTTTTTGAAAATCCTTAAAAATGTTGTTATTCAAAAAATTGTTAATTTCTGTAGCTTAATATTACATTAGATAATAAATAACAAAATCTGATATATACAAAAATAAAAATATTAAAAAAACAGCCGAAATATTTGAAGATTCATTGAATAAAAATTATACAATTAATTGCGCACTTCTTACCGCGCCCTTCTCATTGCTCCTTTGTTTGTATTATTAAAAAAAACAATTATTTTATAAGTAATTTTTTATGACATTTGTAAAATAATTAAAATTCCTTTTAGTTCACTGCACTTATTTTGGATTGATGGCATTAGAAGAAAAATCCGTAATAAAAATTCTTCCAATATAAAATATTTTCCAACATTTGCAATAGCTTAACGTAGATATAAAAGTTGTGTTTAAAAATAATATATTATTGTAATACGTAATTAGTATCCTGCAATAATTTTTCAAAAAATAGAAATACATAAAAATACATATAAATCAAGGTTAAGACTCGATTCTCTCGTCGCAACCATATTGATTTAATGACGTCATAGGCGAGAAAAATATGCATCAAGTCTTGCGTCCTATATTTTTATTCTTTAATTTTCCCTTAAAAATATTACATTTTTGTATTCTTAAAAAGTTGTAAAATATATCAGAAACTAAAATACCTGTCCGATATATCATCCAGAAATATAAAATAACTCTTGAAATATCACATATTTTTCAGCTATCACGGCGATTTCTGACAGCTGAATTTTCATATTAAATATATCAATTTTTACATAGTAACATTATTATAGCTCACTTTCTGGTATATTTTACAACTTTTAAGAATACGAAAATGTAATATTTTTAAGGAAAAACTAAACCACAACGATAAACGACGCAAGAAACTTTACGGAGTGCCAAACAATGTGAAATGCTCGCCTAGAGCATTTCCGATTTTTCTTATTCACGGCGCTAGGCATGAATTTCAACCCGGTTATTTTGCTGAGTAAATTGTCGGTAACGATCATCAGTACTGCAATACCTGCAATACTGCAATAATCTAGCAACGTTGCCAGATGTTTGACAAATCGACATTATCAAATATTAAATATGAAATTGGATCATATAATTATTTTATAACAAGGGAAATATCAGAAATAGTCCTCTCAAATTTCGTTTTGAAATATATGTAGTACTATATTCCAACTAATGCATGATAAAGTCATTCGATGCAATTTTCAAGCGTTCACAAGAAAATCAAGTTTGAAGTTTCATGTAATTAAAAGTCACATGTAATTAAAATATTTCGATTTTATAATTTCCCAAAACGGTAGCTAGATCCTTGACTAATATGATGAGAACATTGCGTTTGCGGGGTCAAATCTCTTCTCTTTTTTTTATTAAAATTTTTTTATTTTTAATTTTTATTTTTAAATGAATGAACATTATAGTATAAAATAATGTGAATAAATTAATAAACGTTTATACTTCTATGTATTTTCTATTCTGTACATAACATGAAAAAATTCAAAAATTAAAAGGGACCAATAGAAAAATTAAGACGTATACATTAAAAAATAAATAAAAATATTAAAATTAAAATTATTTATTTTTCATGTATTATGATGCGAATAGCATTATTGCTTTAAAAAAAGTTTTATCAATATAATATTAATATATGAATTTTTATTGCATCTTTTCATATTGTTCTTGTAATAACGTGACAGCATTTCAGTAAACGAAAATAGATTAAAATGGATTAAAATTTTCAGAAGTATGCATTCGTGTACGTTGAAATGAATCCATATAATCTATCTAAGTGTTTAGTGTTTTAAATTTTAATTATTTCAGGGTCAACTGAGTAGAATAGCATCAATTTATATACCGTGGCTTGGTATTGTATTGGAGAATTTGCACCGATTACAATCAGTAGAAGAGAACGAGATCAAAATAGAAATTAAACAGAACGATGCTAATAGAGTATCAACTAGCAGCTCATTCTTGGCAACAAAGGATGGTGCTAGTTCTACGACCGCTGGTACACCCAACTCTATTCATTCAGGTATACAGTAATGTAATAGTAACAGTAAACTAAGAAGACAAATAAATAATTATTAATAAATTGAAAGTCAAAAATTTTGATATTATACAGACTGACTCTTCATCTGGACACACAATCGTCTATAAGAACATCTATGCATCTACGAGATTCTACTTATTTCGCCGCCATTGCGAGCCAAGGATTAGTTAACAGATATTCTTGCAGTGTTGAATCTAATACATCAATGATGTCTGGTACGTCTCAATCCAATATTTCTCAAGAGATCGCCATTGTTCGAGAGTTAACAGAAAATGGAACAGAGAAAAAGACATTCACGTACGTTGAGTGTGACACAGGTCGTCTAGATGTGA